GGGAGACATGGCCATTGAGGGAGGCAACTTTACCACAGCCTATTTTAAACAGGTACTGATATCTTCCAGCCTATTCAGAATAGAGTTGTTAATCTGTAGGAATTACTCCTGCTTATTAAAGAGGATGCTTTAGCCTCTCCAGACCTGCCTCTTCAACTAGTGGTACCTCTGATACTTTTAAGGGCCATCAGCCCCATAGTTGTAGACCTGGGGTCAGCATTCCATTGATTTTTGACACTTCTTGCTGTTCTCTCCAAAGCAGACCATCCGAGAGCTATTTGACATGCCCCTGGAGGAGCCATCTGGCTCATCTATACCCTCTGTCCCTGAAGAGGAGGAAGAGACTGTGGCCAGCAAGCAGACCCACATCCTGGAACAGGTGAAAAAAGTGGACAATCCTTAGAGTAGGGCTAATGGTTACAGTGTTGTCTCTCAGCTTATTGAGCTTGTCACGGGGGAAAGAAGTGTTTCTGCTGCTTCCCAGATTACAGTTGGCCTTTGATAGTTGTGACTAGATTGCTTATTGGTTCACATGATTTCACAGAAAAAAGACAGATTTGAGGTTTTCATTTCTGACTTTGAATCTCAACACTGCTTCTTAAAAATTGTGTTTGTTAAGCCAAGTCTGTTTAATCTTCTGAGCCTTATTTTCCACTTTTCTGAAATGCTAATGAGAAGGAAGTAACTGAGGGTTAAATGGCATAGTGGATTAAGAAGTGCCTTGTACATGGTATATAACTCTTATTTTCCAAACATTGATGGACTCACTTGGAAAGCTTTTAAAAGGATTGATTCCTAAGTCCCCTCCTAAAATATACTAAATGATTTTTGGAGGCGAAGTCTGGGCGTTTGTAATTTTTTTAAGCTCTTCAGAAGTAGACAGATGTTTAGGAACTACAGATGAAGAGTAATATTGAGGTATTTTTCTCTACTAAGTGTCTTCTCCTGATTGCTGAGCCCTCTCTAGGCTACTTCCCTCAGTGACTTTGATGTAAGCTCTCTGCATATCCAACAGAAGAATAGCTGTGGTTAGTTTGTTGTCATGGGGCGTCTCAGAGCAAAAAATAATTATGGATTTTTTGTATTCGACTCTTTCTGCTTTTTAAAAGAGATCTAAGGTTGACTCTAACAGAAAGGAAAGAGGTCTCTGAAATGGTCACTTTGTTCCTAGTGGGAGTCCTGGTAAAATTCATTCCCTTCTTTGTGGACCACTGTATTGCCTTGGTAACTTTGGGGGCCCAGAAAAGAGTTGAGTTCTGTTACAAACCTGATTTGGTGTAAACTTTGTTAATTCTTGTGGATTTTCTTCCTCACACCTTTGCAGGCATTATGTCGGGCAGAGGATGAAGAAGATATCCGTGCAGCCACCCAGGCAAAGGCTGAACAGGTGGCTGAGCTTGCAGAATTCAATGAGAATGATGGGTTTCCTGCTGGTGAGGGAGAGGAGGCTAGTCGGCCTGGGGCTGAGGATGAGGAAATGTCCCGGGCTGAGCAAGAAATTGCTGCCCTTGTAGAACAGGTCAGTGTCGGACTCACTAGTTCATAACTTTATTCTCTATAACTCCTCTGAACACTGTGATCCTATTTTCCCTGGTAAAAATAATCAGGGATCATTGGCCCTGGGCACCAGGTCCCTATGTTTATCACCACTGATCCTCCCCACAGCTGACTCCTATTGAGCGCTATGCCATGAAATTCCTGGAAGCCTCACTGGAGGAGGTGAGCCGAGAGGAACTCAAGCAGGCAGAAGTGAGTAGTTTGGAGGGGTGGGGATGGAAGTGGAAGGCTGCTTTCTATTCACTCACTGCCCTGCTTGCCTCTCTCTGACCATCCTGTGGGCCCTGTTGTTGGTAGGAGCAAGTGGAGGCTGCCCGCAAGGACCTGGACCAAGCCAAGGAAGAGGTGTTCCGCCTACCCCAAGAGGAGGAGGAGGGGCCAGGGGCTGGGGATGAGGTTTCCTGTGGGACTGCTGGAGGCAGCCACCGGCGCAGTAAGAAGGCCAAGGCCCCTGAAAGGCCAGGGACTCGTGTCAGTGAGCGTCTTCGTGGAGCCCGGGCTGAGACTCAAGGGGCAAACCACACTCCTGTCGCATCCAACCCTCATACCCATAGCACCTCCACTACCCCCCGCTGTAGCCCTGCCAGGGAGCGAGTTCCCAGGCCAGCGCCTAGGCCTCGACCCACTCCAGCTCCTGCTGTAATCCCTGTCCCTATCCCCTATTCGGCCCCAAATCCAATAACCATACTTCCTGTCCATATCTTGCCTTCTCCCCCACTTCCTCCACAGATTCCACCATCTTGTTCTTCTGCCTGCACACCTCCTCCTGCCTGTACCCCTCCACCAACTCATACCCCACCTCCAGCCCAAACCTCTCTCTTAACTCCTACCTCCCCTCTCCTGCTTGGTATACCTTCTGTGCCCGTCTCTCCACCCGTCACCAACCTTTCCTTGGGCTTGGGGCCTGAGGCAGAGCTGTGTACACAAGCATTGGCGTCCACCGAGCCACTGGAGTTGGCTGATACGGCCAGTTCTGAGACTTCCCCGCTTACTCTTGTGCCCCCTAAGGATCTGTTACCAGTTACTGTTGAGATCCTGCCTGTGTCAGAGAAGAACCTTTCTCTCACCTCTTCTGCATCTAGCCCAATCCTGGAGGCTGACAGCTTCCCTAATGATCGAGAGCAGGAGGTACCAGAGCCTGCTGAGGGGACCATCCTCACAGTGCTGCCTGATGGCGAGGAGGTGCCCCCGTGTCTGAGTGAGAACAATGAGCTGGAGCTCCCACCCTCAGCAGCATCTGATGAGTTACTTCCAGAGCCATTGGAGGCTGACAAGAACCCAGAAGAGCTAGTGGAGGCTCAGACCCCATCATCCAGCCCCGAGAAGCTACAGGAACTTGTTTCAGCTGAGGTCATAGCTCCATCAACCTCATCCTCAGCCACCTCCTCACCTGAGGGTCCTTCACCTGCCCGGCCCCCTCGGCGTCGCACCAGTGCTGATGTAGAAATTAGGGGTCAGGGAGCTGGTCGGCCAGGACAGCCTCCAGGCCCCAAAGTGCTTCGCAAGCTGCCAGGACGGCTAGTGACTGTGGTAGAGGAAAAGGAACTGGTGAGGCGGCGGCGACAGCAGCGGGGAACTGCCAGCACCCTAGTGCCTGGGGTCTCTGATACTGGTGCCAGCCCGGGAAGCCCATCTGCCCGCAGCATGTTGGGGCCAGAATCCTCGCCTCCCTCCAGTGGGCCCTGTGAAGCTGCTCCCCCATCCACACTGCCCACCCCATCCCAGCAGTCCTTCATAGCTCGCCGTCGCATTGAGCTGGGGGTGACTAGAGAGGGCAGCCCAGAAAATGGAGAAGGGGCACTGCTTTCCATCACCCCTCCTGCTGTGAAACGTCGGAGGGGAAGGCCCCCCAAGAAGAACAGGTCTCCAGCAGATGCTGGGCAAGGGGTGGATGAGGCACCTTCATCCACTTCTAAGGGAAAAACCAATGGGGCAGACCCAGTCTCTGGGGCTGAGACCCTTATTGTTGCGGAGCCTGTCGTGGGCCCCCAGCTTATTCCTGGGCCCCAGCCTCTTGGACCCCAGCCAATTCATAGACCCGAGTCCATCCTATCACCTGTGGAGAAAAGAAGGCGTGGGCGGCCTCCTAAAGCGCGAGATTTGCCCACTCCTGGGACCATTTCCTCTCCAGGGGATGGCAACTTAGAGAGCCGGACACAGCCACTCCCACTGCCACCACTCCCAGCCTGTCCCACTGCTACTGTCGCCAACACTGTCACCACTCTCACCATTTCAACATCCCCACCCAAGCGGAAGCGGGGCCGACCTCCCAAGAATCCACCATCACCTCGGCCCAGCCAGCTCCCTGTCTTGGACCGCGACATCACCTCTGTCCTTGAGAGCTGTGGATTGGGGAGGCGGCGGCAACCCCAGGGCCAGGGGGAGAGTGAGGGTAGTTCCTCTGATGAAGATGGAAGCCGCCCCCTCACCCGCCTGGCCCGCTTGCGCCTCGAAACAGAGGGAATGCGGGGACGGAAGAGTGAAGGGTCCATGGTGGTGGCTGTAATTCAGGATGACTTAGATTTAGCAGATGGTGGGCCAGGCGGCTTAGAATTGACACCTCCTTTGGTTACATTAGCTCCAAAACTGCGCTCAACCCGGCTGCGTCCAGGGTCTCTAGTCCCCCCACTAGAGACTGAAAAGGTGCCTCGCAAACGGGCAGGGGTCCCAGTCGGCAGGGGTTCTGGGCCGGCAAAGCGGGGCCGTCTACAGTCCCCAAGTCCCTTGGGGCCTGAGGGTTCAGTAGAGGAGTCTGAGGCTGAAGCCTCAGGTGAGGAGGAGGAAGGGGATGAGACCCCACGCCGCCGGCCTGGCCCTCACCGGCTTGGTGCAACTATCAACCAAGGGGACCAGCGCATCCTTCGCAGCAGTGCCCCTCCCCACCTAGCTGGCTCCACTATTAGTCACAGAGGCCGCAAGGCCAAGACGTGAGTGGGCTGCTCCTCCACCAAGGCTTTCTGCCATGGCCCCTCTTTTCCACGACCAGGCCTGACTCTGTTAACCACTACTTGAAGTCTTTGAGGGGGAAAGCCTCCAGGGAGACATAGGGGCCTTCCCCCTTCTTCCCACCAAAGTAGGGGGTAGGCAACTGGTTGTCATGGAAATGGGGCATTTCACATATTCCCTTCCCTTCCACACCACATGGCTGGGCAGTGTTAAGGGTGGCAAGATAGTCTCTGTCCCCACCCCCTTGTACTTGATTCCCCAGCTGTCAAAGCCCCCCATCCTTAGGGGAAGGAGGAGGGGGTTCTCTACAATGAGTTTTTTTTTCTTTTTCTTTTTTTAAGAAGAAAAAATAATAAACTTAGTTTCTGTATGAGCATCTGCGTAAGGAGGCTTCTGATTTTCTGGTCTGGTGGAGGGTTGGGTGGGAACTTGGGCATCATTCTCTCTTGCTCTTGACAAGGCCCTGGTACCTCCTTTCTAACGCAGTGCTATATATCTTTGAGGCAGAGATCTCCACCCAAGAAGAGAGAAGATTTGGCAAATCTGATCTGATAGGGTTCTTTTCCCCAAAGTTTTAGTTTTCACTCCCTCAGACTCACTTCTCTCTTCCCTTCTATTCTCTTAGTTCCTGGACTTTCCCTCAGAGCGCTCTGATGCCTTAGACTTTTCCCTGCTTTTATTTTTTTGCTCAGGTGCTTCCACTCCTTTTCCATAAGGCAGGCATGCTAGCTACCTTCAGTTGCTCCCATTCTTTTTCCCTCCCCTCCATCTAGCCAAACTGGTTTGAGTCAGCCCCACCCCCATCTGAGCTGGGGTTCTTCAGGTGGTGACTGGCCACCCAGCCCCACCCTTGGGCTTGGCTTGGGGCACTTGAGTCAGCTCCATCTCTACCCAAGCCAAATCAAACCTGAGGCAGAAGCCGAAACTCAGTGTCTCTCAAGACCTATAGCCAGGTAAGAGCCCCTATTCATTTTTACATTTTCTCTGATCTCAACTACCCGGATCTTCTCCTTGTATTCTCTCCCAGTGTTCATATCTACCTCATCTGAGTTCGTTCTTCATACCCACTTCTGCAGCTTTGTGGCACATACCATTCTTTGCTTATCTTGCCTTTTTCACTCTCTATCCCTCGTTGCTTGTGTTCAGAGAACTGCAAATGGTTCCATTTTGTCTAGGATATAGGGGAATAGTTAGAGATGGTAGAGGAAAGGTGGTTGGGTGCCAGGGCTCAGAAGTCCTGAGAAATAGGGAGCTAAATGATTAAATGGGGCATCATTTATGCAGGTTTCTGTGTGGGTTATGAGGTCACACAGACTCAGTATTAATCTGATCATGCCATTTGGCCTGGGTGAAAATGGAAAGAGGAGGTGGCAGGGAATCAGCATAATGAAGAAGACCCCAATTTGGAGTGGTAAGGTCTCTGGTATTCAGTTTCTTCAACTATAAAGAGCTTAGATGGGTACTTTTCTCCTTGCTCCCATCCCCAGAACTTTTCACATGAAACTGCCTCTTTGCTTGAAGTAGAGTTCAGGGCATAGGGTGCCATTTTCTGATTCCTCTTTAATATTCAAGGGCAGTTTGAGGAACTTAAGGGAATTTTAGGGCCGTTTGAAATATGATTTAAAATTAGACTCGGGATAGTCTTATATTCCTTACAGCTGTTGAGATTCTGTGTTATGTTCAGTGTTCACCTGTCGTTTCTTTTCTCCCCACTTGTCAGGATAGTAATACAGATAATGTGTTGACACTGGCTTGCCATTAAAGACTTGGAAAGGCTGAGGAAAAAGGATTCCAACCACACGTTTCCTTTCTTGGTCTATGAGTCACTAGAGGAATTTCCCAGTAAGGCAGCATTCTTGAGAGTCAAGCTAGGCCATGAAGACATCATCAGAGAGGGGTGGAGTCTGAGCAAGCCAGGCCAAGGGCTTAGTGTTGGGCTTAAAAGTACCTTGACTATATCGCCCACAGGTGATGGAGGACAAGGAGAAAGCAGTGGAGATCTTGGTGAGCAATACAGAAGCAGCTCGTTCTCCATCCCCCATTCGCTGCTGCAGGCTCCGCCTCCGCTACTTGGCAGCTACTAGCATTATCTGTGGCTGCTCTTGCCTGGGAGTCATGGCCCTTGTGTTTGCCATCAAGGTGAGGAATGCAGTTCCTATGGGAGCAGGGTGGGTGGGTGTAGTAAGGCGATTGTTTTGTATATCTGATCTATCTACATTGATCAAACAAACAATTACTAAGCACCTGTCAGAGCTTGGCATTGAGCCTGGTGTGAGAAATAAGAATAAGACATGGTTTCTGCCGTCAAAGGGCCCACAGTCTAATGAAAGATGGCTGTGAAAATGGGTAATTAATAGAATGCAGCTCATCAGTACTATGATAGACACAAGGTATTCTGGGAGCTAGGGAGGATATATGTGTGTGTGATAACTTGTGTATGGTAGAGTAGGTGACAGGAAAGGCAAATTGATGAGGTGACAGGAAAATAGCCTTAAAAGGTGGTGATAAGGCATTCCATATAAAGGCATCAGTGTGTACAATGGCCTGGACTATGAATTCAGCATGATTAGACCAGTGAGGAATAGTGAGAAATTAAGCCAGAGAATCCAGATTCCTAAGAGCATCCCATGCTTAGGAGTTTCAACTTTATTTTGAAAATACTGGGGAGCCATTTAAGGTTTTTTGTAGAGGAGAGTGACATAGTCAGATTTGTGTTTCAGTAAGAACCCCTCTCAAGGCTTATGTGGAGAATGAATTGGTAGAGGAGAGACTGGAGGCAGCTGAGCAATAATGAGAGCAATCCCTAGGAGTCCAGAAGAAGCTATAAGGTTTTTTGAGAGGGTTTCACGTTTAAAATACCTAACAGAAACTGCACATGTACCTTTTGAAAAGCTACATAGGCTAACTTAAATATGCTGGAATTTTCTCAACCGTAGTTGTATTTTAACAATCAGAAACTATTCCTGTCATAAACTTCTGGATTTCATTAGAGCAAAATCATAAAAAGAATTCTTAATAATGAAAAAGATGGGACCTATTAGGTTAATGAGAATGGGGTGTTGTTTGACTAAACACGAGTGACATACCCTGAGATTGTTCACTGTTTCTTGCCAAGAATTCCAAATTTGGAATGAATCAGGTGAGTAGAAAAGGATAGGGAATCAAAGAATTGAAAAGTACTTTCCCATGTGTGATCTTGTGAGCTAACAATGTCCACCTTGAAAAGCAGACAGAGCAGAATGGATAACTTTGCAGATGAGGCATGAGAAATAGAAACTGGAAAGGGAGGTAGAGGATTTGGGTGTGAGGTTTTGAGCCATAACAAGGATAGAGGATTGGATTCGGGTAATGGGCACTTTGGGACCGAAGCAGGGGCAAAACCTAACCAAAAACCTGCCCCCACAGGCGGAAG